GATTGGTCCGATTGGTCTCATTTTATTGTCATCACGCCTGTAAAGCCTGATAAAGCAGCGTTTGTGAGCGCAGTGCTGCTTTGTGTACAGCGTTACCGGGGAAACCGCTATTTTTATGCTCCAAAAGCTGCACCTAGTGGCAAAGAATGAATTTGCATTTTCATTCAGACCAATGCGAAAAGACCAAGAAGTGGGCGGGCTAATGTTTCATGTTGACTTCAACATGAAAAGGCTTGGGAATGACTCGTTTCAATGATTCAGAGTCGACTCTTTCTTTTGAGAGACAATAACTTTATACACGGTGCACTTTCAGATTTAAAGCTTTGCAGGATGTTTTCATTCACTTAGAGATGTGTTACACACTGCAGGAAAGCTCATTTTCAAAAATCCATAATAGGGGCACTTTAAACCTACTGAAAGAGTAAAAGCTTTTTGTGACAGATGAGAAGGACAGATGAAACACCAAACAACGATTAAAAGTAGTTCCAATGTAAGGCTGTGAGTACAGAGGCACACATGGCAGTGTGAGAGGAGCTCGGACGGATCATGATGAACTCACCCGCGGACACTTTCAGCAGAAGCAGAGAACACACGCAGAAGCAGAAGCAGCGAAGCGCCTTCATCTCCGCATTGCGCTGCTGCTCGGTCCACAACACAGGAAGCACAGCTTTTTGGCGATATGTTAATGACTAATGTCGAGAGCGCATTATTGTAGCGCGAAACCACATAGATATACTGCGCAGGCGCGAATCTCTCCGCTCGCACGCGGATTTCCTCTCTTTTGCTCTCTCACAAAACCGGACGCGCGAGCTCAGATACACGCTGCTCTCGCAGCACCAAAGCAAGCCCCCATGCATAGTTTTTGGGGATTTATGGTCTGACATACACAGTTGTGTTCACAAATATTGTATTACTATTAAGTAATCATCTATAAATGAAAAATAAAATAACAACATTTCAATATCCATCATGGCACCAAGTGAACACAATTTAAAAAACTTCAACAGGTTATAATGTTTCTGAGCTTGTATCACTAAAGAAGACATGCGCTTCTATTAAAATTACACAGGCTGCTTAGATGCTATAATCACGTTTAGTGCAAGTTTAAGAGCAACACAAACTTTTGAATTTCCTTACATTAGAAAGACATACAATAATATCAAAGCACTGAATCTGGATCAGTTTTGAAAACAATGTTTGATTTTCTGTTATGAACAGAGGTGGGAATGTCTGTAATCACCCAGAACAAACTCTAGCAACACCCCAGCAACTGCAGAGCAAGAGCCTAGCAACCACCCAGAATATCCTAGCAACCAACTAGCAACACTTTAGCAAACATCTAGAACA